GGGGCGAGTTCAGGATTGACACACTCAGTGTGAGTGTGACACCGGTGCGACACACTAGCCATTCATAAATGCTATAGGCACACCGAGTGCGCGCACTCTGTGCCGTTCAGAAAGTACTTTGGGCGCGCTCCAGGTGTCGCACCAGTCACAAAATAATTTTTTGGTGTGGCTGCGGTGTGATTGTGTCTTTATGTCAACAATGTCAACCATTCCTCCCATAATCTCAATAATCCCATCAAATATAAACAAAACACAATTAAGAATTAAAGTTTTTCCTTCAAATTAAAAAAATTAACAACAAAAAAAGTAATCCTAATAGATTTTGTGAAATTTTTGAGGAGATGCTTGATTAGTCACACCAAGCGTTCAGAAATTCATACGAAAGTTGTCGTTTAAAGGTGCGTACAGACATGCAACAGAACGCCGTAACGTAACTCCACCGCGTAACAAGTACGCGACATATCTGGACCGTACTCTGCAACATCGTAGCAGTACAGCAACCGCGTAACACCGTAACATCGCAGCGTCCCATCGGTTGTCGGTAAATCGACACCGCATCAAAGAAATGTTCGCGGCGATGTTGCACTTGATTTTTTTAGTCTGGACGTGCTTGCGAACCCGGTGCCGTTGTTTTGGTTTTGCCCTTTTGTATTTCCACTATTTCCAGTCAAATTCAGTTGCTATTTTGATTTCGATAGAAATGGAGTGGACGGAAGACAGTGTGCTTGAGTTTATCGAAATTTATAGAGGGAAGGAAATTTTATGGAATAACAAACATCCCAGATATTTTAATAAAATTCAGAAAAATGATGCGTGGGAAGATGTCGCAAGAAGTGTAGGTGCTACGATTGACGAGTGCAAGAAGAAAATTAGTGCGTTGCAGTCAGCGCTGAGGCGGGAAAAGTCAAAAATTAAAAAAAGCATGGGCACCGGAACAGGTAAAGATTTATTAATTAATTAAATTTTTTTGACACTTCTAACAGCCAATTTTTTTAACAACTTTCTCAAGCTTGTTGCCTTCAACAAGCTTTCGAAACCTGTTAAAAAAATGTTTTCGAACAATTATCAATGTCCTTGGGTTGTTACTACTGGTATAGTTTTTCCAAAGTCAATTGGAACAAGGTAAACATAAATCATACTGGTGGCCGGCTGACTAGTGGCAGTGGCGGCAGTGCATTTCTTATGGAACTTTCCAGTGACCATCAGTCAGCCACCAGTTGGTACCTTGTTCCAATTGACTTTTGTAATAGTATAATATGAATTGATTAATATACTATTATTTCAATTGTAGGGCGTTCCGATGTGTATGAAAGTTCTTGGTTCGCATTCAAGAGCTTGCTATTCCTGTGGGACAAAAACAAAGTACGCAATACTCAAAGCTCTGTAAGTGTTTATTTATTTATTTATTTATTTTTTTCAATATTATTTAAGTATATTTATCTTGCCACAAAATCCGCCCTTCATTTTGAAAGAAATCAGCCAATTCTTCTCGAATTGCTTTAGCCTGTATGGATGGTTTTCTGGGAATATTTCTGAGAGGAAGTAGCGAAGTAGTTGGTTCATTACTTGAAGCTCTCGCTCCATCGACAAGTTTTCCCTCTACTTCCGTATCGAATGTTCCGTTTGGTGTATACAAGTGACAGGAGGAGGAACTTTTCCTTAAGAAATTATGTAAGTGAGCTATTGCCATTACAATGAGCTCAGCCTTTTCAGGACTTAGCAGCATGGGTTTCCGGAGTGCTCTAAATACTGCTGAAGCAATACCAAATACATTCTCTACGACTCTTCGCGCGCGAGATAATCTATAATTATAAACCCTTTGTAATGATCCTTTGGGGTGAATTCCCGAAAACGGTTTCATTAATGTATCAGTGAGAGCAAACGCCTCATCTCCAATGAAAAAATAGGGAATTTCGCGTTGTCTACCATCCAAAGCTTCAGCTAGTGGCAATCTTAACTCATTTTTTTCTAGTTTTTTGAACAGGGAACAATTTTTGAAAATGCCACCATCAGAAATTCTTCCTTGGCCTCCAGCATCAACATACAAAAAGTTGTAATGAGCATCTACTACTGCAAAAAGAACTATGCTGAATGTCGATTTGTAGTTAAAAAAATCGCTTCCTGTATTAATAGGTGCTTGCAAAACGACGTGTTTTCCATCGATTGCCCCTAGGCAGTGCGGAAAGTTCCAAATATCGTTGTATTGTTTTGCTACTTGTAACCACCCCTCTGATGTTGTTGGTATCTGTAAAAAATATCGTTTTCAGAAACTTCAAAGAATAATGATTCTACTAACTAAAAAACCTTGAATTTATGACCTGATCTACAAGACATTTCTTTCCCAACCCAGAAAACTATTTTGTCATATTATCGAAAAAATATCAACAGAACTTTTTATTTGGTTGCAGATTGATAAAGAAACAGACGAAAGTAATGATGTAGATGATGATACCGCTTTGCAAGATATGAATCCGGACTCTGAGGAGCCCCAGAAGACTAACGACATACAAGAGCCTGACGAGACTGAAGAGCATCATGAGATTCAGAAGCCTCACGGGACTCAGCAGTCTCACGAGACTCATGAGCTTCGCGTGACCCAGGAGCCCAACGAGTCTCAGCAGACTCCAAAGACTCGGATTAGAGTCAGTAACAAGGAAAGAAAACCCCCTCAGATGACTCATAGTATCCCGAACAAAAAACGTGCAGTTGAAAAATTGGATGCTGCTTTCGAAATTCTAACAAAGGCATCGAATAAGGAACCAACGCAGGATCCAAGCGAATGTCAAATATTTGGAAATCTTGTAGCCAAGAAACTTAGTAAATATTCGAACGTAGCACAAACGGCAGTACAAGAAGCCATCATGAATATTTTATTTGCGGCAGACAAGGGGTATTATAATCAATATCCCGCTCCAAGAGGTTATCAATCAAACAATTATTCCACAATCCAAAGCGAACTTGTACAACGTGATTCGGTTTACCAAGATACTCAGTTGATACAATCCCCATATTCACCCCGTCCCGCAGCTCATTGGGATTTTGCAACTGACGCATCATCCCAAGCGCCTCAGTTTTCACCGGTACCACTGCCACTAATATCTCCAGCATCAGCAAGTTCACAATGCTCGGGTATGACAAATTATTCCGCTTCTACCAGCAATCCACCCCCATTTACCAGTGCAACATTACTAACTGATTTAAACTTGCCAGATAATTAAATGATATTCAAGAACAAAATTTTATAGAAAAATGTTTTATAATAAAGAATTTTGAGCAATAAATAAATCAACATACCTGTATATTCTCCTTCAACCCTTCTATGAGAGCTTCACACACTTCTGGTACTATAGCGCTTATCGATTGTTTCGAAATTTTGAACAGATATTGCAGACTCGTGAAGGAATCTCCAGTCGCCAGAAAACGCATTGTTACTGCCAATCTTTCCTGAACCGAAATAGCTTGTCTCCAATTAGTGTCTCTTCTTGATACTTTTGGACCGATTAGGTTAATCAAAAATTCAAAATCAGTTGGCGACATTCTGGTAAAGTTTTTGTATAGACCACTCACGGCACTCACAGACTGGAAGTTTAGGTCTCTCAATAAATGACGACCACTGTACACAGTTCTACTGGTGTATAATTGAGTCTGCCACCAGCGTCTTGGTCTGCGTTTTCTCTTATGCACTAAATAGTGCATAACTATGTAAGCTGCAGCAGCAATGTCCATCTTGCTTGAACGTAGATACCAACTAACTAAAAACGTTGCTAAAAAGCTGGGACGCCTAAATGTTCCGCGCCGATGTTGCGCGGCGATGTTCTGTTGCACCAAACTAAACCCACTTTCCTCATCGCAACGTCAACGTCGCGCAACAGAACATGTCGCGTGCTTGATACGCGGTGAAGTTACGTTACGGCTTTCTGTTGCATGTCTGTACGCACCTTAAGAATAGACCTATCTATTTTTACCTGGTATGCGCGCTCAACACGAGGCAATGCCTTTCTATTGGCTAACTAGTACAGGTGAGAGGTGTTCGTTTTGCACGCTGGGCATCTCATTGTCCTTGTTCATTGCCCGTGGTCTGACAAGGATAAAATTATGCTTGATATTCAACTTGACAAGTGATCGATTTTCAATAGTTTGCGTTTTTGATTGACAAATACGTTGCATGTCAAGCGGTTTTCCTCCTTCCTTTTTTATTCCGTGCAAATAATAAGAACGGATTGCTATACGTAAGTCTAACATAATTTGGTACATTTTGCCTCGTCTTGCGCAATATGCGTTCTGCGTCTTTTTCTATCTAATAAAGTTTTTGTATTATTACCTCTTTGTCTGATAAAATAGATAGGTCTATTGTCATTTCAGTCACACCCATAAAATCGCACTCACACCCGGTGTGTTATTTCTGAACTCGCCCCAGGAGCTCAACGTCCCGAGTAGCTCCGGGCGTCACACTCCCATACTTACCTTGCGTTCGGTATTTTGCTCAAAAAGCAGAGCGTGCTGAGCGGAGCCGTAATCACGTGACCAGTGAGCGCACAGAGCAGTTGAACGCTGTTTAAAAGTGCCAGAAATTTTAATAAACGAACGCGAATGATGCTGCACCTAGTACACTTTTTAAATAAACGAACGGTAAAGTCAAGCTCGGAGAACTCGGACCAAAATAACGAACGCACGGTTAGGAAAGCGGCTCACAGGCCTCCTGCTGATCAATGACAGTTATATTCCGTGACGTCATAAATTCGTATTTTGCTTGATGATGGCGTGATCCTTTTATGGGTTTGGTTTGGTAAAAGAAGGATTTGTCCATAATCGGAAAATCGGAACTGTTCGGTGCGCTGTGGTTCTGTGGCTGTGGTCATCCTTGCGCTGTGGTGGTCCCTCACCCTCACCTCACCTCACCGTCCTCCTCACCACTCTCACTCTCATTCATGTTCCCTTTTTCCTCTTAGGTTGGCGTTGTGTAAATAAAGTTCACATGTGATAAAAGTTCCTCTGGAATAATGGGAAATCATCATGGACATCACAAATCGGCGGATAACACCCCGACTTCTTTCGGGTCGGCTGACAACGCTTCCAGGAAAAGTATCCCCAGGAATGGTTCTGCAAACGATCTCCAAGAGAAGCCTTTAGACCAAATGTTGCCTGTCGAAAGACTGACCAAGGTGATAATTTTTTTTTCTCAACATCAATTTTTTTTTTTTTGAAATACTGTTTATTCAACCAAATATTACAATAGAATTAATGTAACGGTTCCCAAATCAGTGCCTATAAACACTGGCCTCGAGAACAACAAATATACAAATAATAATAGTGTTGCAAAGGCAGTTAATTATCAGTTATTTTTGCTATGAGTTTTTTTCTATAAAATTGGTAAATTTTTATATTCAGCATACAACATAATATGTAATATAATAATTTGCTGGCATCCTCTCTAGTTCTTTCCTGATAGTCTCTTAGGCCTTGCAGCTATAGAGTTCAAATTTTCGAATGATCAAAAATATAGATTTTTTGCAATAGCAAATAATTTTGAGTAATTATAACACTCGCTTAAATTGTGATCCCATTGCAAAATTGCTAGCTAAATATATTCCTCAGTGCTTGAAGTTGTTCATCAAATAATGATAATCAAGCTAAAATGATTATACTTCCTACATGTATTTTGCTTCAATGTAATATGCAGGCTGCAGGGTGTTTTTTTTCAATTACTTTTGAGAGTGTTGGTAAAAGAGAAATAGGACTAGGAAACTAGAGAAATCATCGGAGTTGTGCCCCTTAAAACAGTGGACTCACCACCTATGCTTTAAATGTGGTGGAAACTCTCCAGTGCTCGCTCGAGTGGCAAATCAACAATCAATAGAGTATGCAAGCATAGGGCACATACAAATCAAGCAAGTTTTCCAGTATTCTGACAGCAATCTCATTGTGGCCTGCAAAATATCTAGTTTTTATATCTTCCAAGTGGAATGTATTGTTAAAAACATTAATTAGAATATAGAAAGATACCCACCAATTTCCGGAACTTAAAAACACTATTATTGTTTGCCCAGCGGATCTGAGTCTACGGAAGGAATTCGGACGTAAATGTGCCATGTTGTCATGTTTAATTATGAAAAAGCGAAAATACTAGGCATGCAGTGGCGGTTCCTCCATAAGAGCACATGTGCACGTGCACTCCCAAATTAATATCAAACAACTTTAAATTTAATTTTATCATTCTTCAAATTTTAACATTCTACCTGTAAAGTATTAATTTAAAAAATTAGTGGCCAAATGCGCCAGCAAAACAAAAGCAACCGGCAACGCTGGAATCACAGCGTCCACCGCGTCGCCTGATCTGCCCCGTTCACTGCACATTTCAATATTAAATCCAATTGGTGGAACTATGCCCCCCCGCACTCTTTGTTCCCCGCGAAGGTCAAGCGACGTTCGATGTTTTAAGCTGGCTGGTGACACATGTAGTCAGTGCACTTTGGGATCGGAAGGGGTTGTTTTATATTTATTTCGATTTCGAGCGCGATTTAACTGAAAACTGTGTGTAGAATGGCGGGATTTCTGAACCCCGATAGCCTTAGCGTGCAATATTTAAAAACAATTAAATTTTCTTCGCTTTCTTTGGAGGAAAAAATCCAAATCAAATGTGTCGGCCGTCCAAAGCCAAATTTAATAATCACCAACATAACAAAATGCAAAAGTCGTGATTATAAACGAACTTTTAAAATGGAAACTTACGAAAAAACTGACTGGTTGTGCGGTTGTGATGTTAGTAATAGTCTTTACTGTTTTCCCTGTTTGTTATTTGGAAGCGATGAAGCATCAGAATGGACAAAATCCGGCGTTAAAGATTTAGTACATTTATCCGAAAAAATTAAAAAACATCAAAACTCAAAATCACATCTTACTCTTATCTTTCAATACAAAACGTGTCTGTGAGAATTGTGAGATTGAAAACTATAATACATTTATGTATAAAAACAATTGTTAGACCAGGACGATGTACTCAGCGAGGTAAGTTACTTTGTTACTTAATTTCTAGTTTATTGATATAAGATCCTTCAATTTCCACGATTTGATAGACCGAAAAAAGTATTAAATTGAGCTTAGTTGGTTGTTTGGTAGGGTAGATATGAAATCCCTTAACAATATTTTTAATTATTGGTAGGTAAACAAATCACATAACTCATACGATCACTTACAATAAATTATTTTTTTAAAGGCCTAAAATAAACACTTCTGGGCGTGGCACCCCGAAAAATTTCGCGCCTCCGGCGGGCATCCCCCTTTCGGCATTTATTATGAATTACAAATTATGTGCACCCCCAATATGTTATACCACGAGCCGCCACTGTAGGCATGTAGTATAGTTCATTTGAAAATCCATTGTTTAATAGCAAAATATAGATACCAAATATAACACTAAATATTTCAACGTGGTTGTTAGATCTATTCTTATTCTAATAACTGATTTCTTCAATTTTGTCCATTGTAAAAAATAAACATTTTCTAAAGATACCATCAGTTTTTGACAATTTGGCAAGCATCCAGCCTGGATGAACCTGATTGGCGGAGTTTTTGGCAGGATGGCCGTTGCCACGGGGAACCATGTCGTTGTCAATGGGCTAACGTCACCTTACGTCTCGCTATTGGCCAGGGCTTCCGTCATTGTATCCTCCCATCTTGGAATATCGATTTATATTGAAATATCCAGTGGCGGGGGTTTGGTCATTTTCGATTTTCGTGTAGGAATTGCAATACGATAAAACTTCCAAAAAGTTCCGCACGCAGCTGGGTATTTTATGAATGAAATCAGCCATTTTTTTTTTACAACTGCATTCCCCTTACCGTTGCCCCGTAGACACAGAGTCGCTGGGCAGACATTACATATTTCAGTATTACAACTTTCAATAAATTTTCTGTACTTAATTTTGTTGACTAGGAATAAAGATGACAACAATAGGCACAAGCCTAATGATCCAATAATACTGAAGCGATGGTATGCCATTCAAAAATATTTTCTTCATCAAAGTTTGTGCAAATGTAATGTGTAGTTGTAGCTGGGACATTTGTAATGCAGATTGGTTCACAAATATGCATTTTAAATGTTTAATGATATAGAAGATTTTAAAGTGGTTGTGTGGTTGCCAATTCCAAATCTGCAAACTTTATATTCTGTTCTTTTCCTATTCATGGTTTTGCCCGAGGGGTGTTCTACTCACAACATTTTGTACTCGATTTTGTACACCTACTGTTATTGACTGCATTGATTGCATCAAAGATGATAGTTGACTGCATTGACTTTTGAACAATTTCTAACAAGATTGCAGGCTCCACTCGCAGTGACTGCTTACGATTTTTCGCGAGTGTATATGGAATGTATGTTTCTGCATGTGACTGCACAGAGTTTATAACGATTGCAAGTGACTGTATTATGACTGCATCAGTCCATGTACTCCATTGACTGCATGAGAATGTATGGACTGCAGAAGAGTGTATGGACTGCATATACATGAATGTATGATATTTGAACACCTTTTGCACAAGGGAAACACCCCTCCATCCGAGCCTCCATCCCTCGGTTTTGCCTGTTTTGATGGGATCAGATCAGATGGGCTTCAAATGCACTAAGTGGAGACATTTTCTTTGCATTTTTTTTTTATAGTGTTGGATTATTATTATTCTTGAATGATTAAATTATATCTTGATTCGTACTGTAGAAAAATTGCATTCCAGAGGGGGGGCTGAATTGCTTAAGACCCCAGCGCCAGTATTCAGAAATTCTATCATGTGATTTATGTAAACAAGCATTTAGGTCAAGTTTGAGATGATTGAATATTTTTTGTAGGTACAAAAAGCGCGTAATTTGTAATCAATCAATTTGTAAGTGATTAGTGAATTTTGTATTCAAATTATGTAATATAATTGTTATTGTTAGTGAAAATAATTTTAGTGGACCCGCGGAATCCTTGAACAAGATGTACATTTAGAATCAGTATTTATAGTAGGCCCTGATAGCTGGTTCACTCCAGCCATTAAAATATTAAAATTTGAACTAAGAATACTAAAACTCAAAAAGAAATCTGCATTATTCAATTTTTTCGACTATGAGGATTGGTAATAGGTAGGTACTTCAATTTCCTCATTTTGGGCGAGGCCAATGTCAATAGGACTACCTACAGTTACTAGATGATATAACAAATTGGGCTAACATCAAGATCTACACTGTGGGCCAAATTTATTTGGAACCCAATTTGGCTCTGAATATATTTTTTTTAATTTAACGTATTTTTGTGAAATTTTGTGTGAATATTAGGGGGGCCTTTCCTTGATCTTAGAACAAATGTCTTATCAAAATGTACAGCGGGAGCCAACCGGACACGCATGGAAATTTGAGCGCCGAGCGCAGATACGTACGCAGATTTTCCCAAATCAACACGCTAGCTAGGTGTATAGGTGACCTATTATAAATTTTATTTATTATACTACATTGATAACATTTGAAATACAGTGGACGAATTCTGCAATACAATTTTACAATTTACAATTTCTTATCTACGAATAAATAATCTCAAACACAATTTCTGAAGTAGTGAGCAAACTGAAACACAAATTACCCTATCTGAACTACAACTGACGCATTCTGAACTAGAATTGATGAATCTGAAATACAAGTGAGACAATCTGAAATACTCATGGAAAAGGTGTAGTGAGTAATGATACAAAATAGTCCGGGGGCCGAGGACCTTTTTTCCAAATCTTTAATAACAAGCTAGTTTTTTCAATGCAGCTTCATTTCACCGAGACGCCCAACTTTTTTCTCTTCGAAAATTGCGAAAACAGGTAGCTAACATACTGCGCAGGTGTAAAACATGTCGATTTGGTGACTATGAAAATTTAATTAATAACAGTTAGTTTTTCAGCTAAATGTTGAGATAATTTTATGAATAATTTGAAACAACATTTGTCCGACAAAATAAAGGGTTTGGTCTACGATGTCCCCCCCCCTCAAACATGTAGCAATTACGTTGCATAAAAAATGATTAATAACAAGTTGATTTTTTCAATGTACGTTGGTAAATATTATTACAATTAAATGGTCAAACTGTCCTACAAATAAACAGGTAGCTATTTTCAGTCCTACACTCAAAAGTTGTCGATTTCACGATTT